CCGCTCAATCTAAAACTACTTTTTCACGGCTAATCTCAACACTACGCAGAGCAAGAGCTAAAGGTTCATCGTTACTACCTAAAACATTATGTTTGCTGAGTAGCGATGTCATGATCCCTGACAACATTTAAGGGGGCGTTTAAGTTCTGGACATAAAACCGGCGACACAAACGTGTGTCTTCGGGGGTAAGTGAGCTATCCTAAAGAACGATCACGTATTCGACGTCACAAAATTGAGTAAGCGTTTTTGTTCAGCTGTGGCAGGTGTATCCGTAACCTGTTCTCCTTAGCGAGGGATGGAGGGACGGCTTAAAGCTCTCCCATACTATGGTAGAGTACCGAGTACTCTAAGTCATGAGACAGTTGTATCCGTACTGTTCGACTTTATAAGGGACGGCTGGAAGCTCTCCCATAGTAAAGTACCCTGTACTCTAAATCGTTACCCACTTTTAACTACCCCTCTCCCCCCCCCCCCCCCCCAGCTGTGCAGCGCGAGCCCTGAGTTGTAATCAGTAACAGCGAGTCTCATCACGTTGTGAGGCCCACGGGACGGCTTTATGCTCTCCCATAGTAGAGTACCGAGTATTCTAAATCGTTCACCAGCTTTTTTTTCCCCTAAACACCAATGGATGTTTTATTTATCAGTGTAAGGCCCATGCGACGGCTTTATGCTCTCCCATAGCAGAGTACCTAGTACCCTGAATCGTTACCCACTTTATGATAAACACAATCGTTAATGCAAGTTCTCTGCAGGCGGAGTTATTTGTGGGCAGCGACGGCTGCGGTCGGAGCTTACATTACTTCTGCAGTTATAGTAGACTGCAGTTTCCCAATTTAGGGCACACGCTGTAAGCGTGAAATCGAAGCTGCACAGTGGTAAAATCACCTCCACTTTCTAGATATGCATTCATAAAGCATGGACTACACGGCTCTAGCGTTCCAGTATAATCAATGTGCCGAAATGGTACAGGGACACTAGTTTTCACAGCCTATCAAAAATGGCATATCAAAAGTGATGCTAGTTGACGAAATTCCGGTAAGCACGACGCGGCTTCGTGACGCTATTGACATTATTATAACAAAAATTATTATAATAACAAATAAGAATATTACTTACAATTAGCGTATTCTATTAACAACCTATTTGCTGGATCTCGTAGCGGAAAAACGTTTTCAGTGCTGGCATGAAAACGTTTTTCAGTGCTGGCATGAACACGCGCTCTCCTTATATATATATATATATAAGGAGAGCGCGCGTCCACGTGGATGACAGTAAAGTTTCTTGATGGAAAATGAAATGGTACTGAACATAAAAAAAAAGAATTCATTTCGGTGCAAACATACAAGACAAACATAGATATTAATTACGCTCACAGTTCTCCGCAGGCAGCTGCCACAACACAGTCTCATGCCGCACCGGTGTTGACGCTGAGCACTGCGTGCGCCTCCTTGCGAGTAATGGACTCTCAAACGCAACGCATGCTGGTTAATACTTTCGATATGCAGACGGTCATTATCCCCAGGGTCGAAGCAGCGCCAATGCCATTACGCACGGTCGCTGCACTGCAAGGACGAGCAAGAGATCTTTTTTTTAATTACTATTTATTTTTTTTGCGGTATTTTGCGGAAGCGCGCGTACGCACCGCGCCGAAGCCGTTGGACATTGCTCGCGACCTTTGCGACCGCTCTCCCGCTCCGATTTTCAAGGCGAACGTGTCAGCGGCGATTATTCCGTGCTCTTGTCCCCGCACCAGACCGGTGTCGAGTCCGCATTCGCAGTTTCACGTTACGCGAAGGTATGCGCTACTACTATATACGCTTCTAGACCTCTAGAATGCGCGCGCAACTGAGACCCCCCCCCCCCCCCCCTTTCGACTTTCCCATAATGTCAACCAACAAAGTGAAACCGCGCGGACTACGCAGGCCAAAGGTAACACAAGTATAACATGTGCCTCGGGAGAGGTGGAATCTATAGCCGCCAGTTTCTGTTCACACCCGAGCCGTTAGTTTTTTTTTTTTTTTTCGTTAGGCTGCGTGACACGGCCTGAATGACTATCATTATTACCATGACTCCCCTCACGTGACCGTCATCGCGATCAACCAGCACGCAATCTTTTCGTCTAAGCAGAAGTATACTGAGAGCTAAGCAGAAGTATACTTCTGCTTAGCTCTCAAAAACACGAGCGCCCTTTTGTCATGTCTGGGATGCAATACTCTGATGGGCGAGAGAAGGAGTATAGAGAGAGAGAAAGGAAAATAAAAAAAATAAAAAGGTAGAAGGTGAGAGAGCGAGTGTGCGCAGAGGCAGGTGAGGGAGGGAGAAATAAATAGAGAGAAAGAGAAGAAAACTAGAAAAAGCATGACCAGTGGGCGCAGCTATAGAGCCTATAAAGTACGTGATGTTTACGTTGAAGTTCGTCGACTAGTACGAATGGTGTGTGCTTGCAGGGGTTTTATATTGTTCCGTCACAATTATGATTGACATTAGTCTATTTTGAAACCTCTTTTTGGGAGTCTCACATTACCGTACGTTGTACCCGATAGTTGCCCCATATAACGTAGCCATGATATACGGACACCGGAGAAGCCTGCTTCGGCCCTAAGATGATAGGAAGACGAAAAAAAAAAAGACAGGAGCAGACACATAAAAAACTATCAATATAGGGAGAAAGAGAGAGCAATACAAGATATGTATATATTATAGCAAAGGCTGGGAAAGTGAATAGATCGAACGTGAAAAAGAAAGGAAAGGCCACTAGTTCGGCTGATCAGGAGCGTAGCAAGAAATTTTTTTTCGGGGGGTGGGGCACATTTTTTCATTTCAGACAGGGCAACCCACTGAAATTGTCATTTTTTATTCTCTACACTACGGCGGAAAAAAAAAAAGATTTCCGCACCAAGCACAGTGACGTCACAGATTTCGAAGGCGTCTTCTGAGTCATGCCTAGCTTCTAATCAATAAATACGAAGTACCATCAGCGTCAAACGAAACCCGAACAGAGGCGAGCCTTCGTGATGGTATAGTGCCCGCCGTCCACTTATCACCATGGACAGGCACACATTTATGCGCAGAGATGCCGGACAGGATGCGCGCGCCTGTCCATGGTGATAAGTGGGCGGCGGGCACTATACCCCATCACGAAGGCTCGCCTCTGTTCGGGTTTCATTTGACGCCGATAGTACATTGTCATCAGTGTGTGCCGTATACATCTAGCGTACGAAGTTTCAGAAAATTTAACCGAGCCAACGTCGTGAATATACTGAAAATACATTTCGAAATTGTTGACGTCACGCACGGAGATTTCGGGGCGAATTTCAAAAAATGAAACACCAACGTTGATATTTCTCCTCAAATAATGAAGTTATGATAGTGAAACATGCGGCATTAGAATCCTCCGAGGGCCGCTTATCAATCTAAATCAAGTCATTGTTTCTCTTGGGTGTCCCTTTAAAATCACGAGTTCTCGCGCGCGATATTTACTAAATGCGAGCATTGTATGATGGGCCACCAGACGATAGTTATAGCGCGAGAACAGAACGACGACACAGAGACAAGAAGGACACGAGCACTAACTTCCAACCGAGTTTATTACGCAGAGCGCGAAAATATATAGAGGAGACATTAAACCATGCGACAAAAACCATGTAGCAACCATGTGATCATGTCGTCATGTCATACCAACTAGCCCAAGCTGCCACACTTCTATGAACCACCAGAGTTCGTAAGAAGGAGAATTTCGCTATAGCTCCATCGCGGGTGCCAACGGGACGAATTTTACGTCCCTGCGCGCCACTGTCGGCGAAGCCCATGCATGGTAGGCGCCTTTTTTTATATTTTCTTCCGTCGAACTATCGACATGAGGCAGAGATGCACGCGTGTATGGCTGCTGGACAACTTCGCAAATTCAATAAGGTGCGCGTCCATCGCGTTCAAAGTGGCAAGTGTCACATTCCGTGCACGCGACGTCAAACTGCCCACGCGTGCAAGCATACGTGCTATAAACTTACGCGCAATAATGTGTGGGGTTTCACGTCCCAATTAAAACTGCGGTATGATTATGAGAGACGCCGCAGTGGAGGGCTCCGGAAATTTCGCCCAGCTGGTGTTCTGTGACGTGCACTGACATATGGCACAGAACGCGCGAACCTCTACCACTTCGCGGTTGCCGGAATCGAACCCGCGACCTCGAGCACCTTAGCCATTGATCCGCCACACGTATGAGCAAGCATTTACATGTGAACAAGCATGAAGCGCACCGACGTTATTGATCAAGAAAAAGATAACTGGATAATGACGAATTATTTACCTCTTCGAACTGAGCGGTGCTTCAACCACGGTATAAGGCGCATCGCGACATTTCCATCACTTCCCACTCGCTCATAATCCGAATAAAACCGCGCACCCCACCTGATTCGTCGTGAAATAAGTTTAACAAGGGTGCGAAAATTAAGCAGCGTACCTACCGTATGTATTTACTCGTATCACTCTCCCTTTGTTTTTTTTTTTTTGTGTTCAGATTTTGTTACCTAAAGACGAAGGTCGCGTTCCAATCAAATCACGAATTTTTTTTCTTCTTCCAGCACGCAATGAAAATTCATTCCTCACGTTACGATGCTGTAAATACGGTAATTAACTGCAACACTCACACACTAAGGTGCGTTACTCATGAATAAGAAGAACGATGAAATTTACATCAGTGATGTAAAACTACGGCGAGCGTGCTTGGACAGAGTATATTGTCACACTCTCGGATGAATGGAGAAGAAAATGGGTTTCCAGAGCGCGGGCATGGATTAGCGCCGTCAGCTTTGCGTTCGGCGGGGGTCCCCAGAAGCGGGGCCCCCTAACTGCGTCGAACGACATCGAAAGGGTGCCGGCAGAACAGGTGAGGCCGGCCGCCTATGTGATTTACATTTTCGCCACTGGTCTGGCGACGGACGCGAAAACCCGTTCGCTCCACCGCAGCTGAAGCATGATGCGAAGACGACGTCCTACGTACCGTTACGCGCATGATGAGGCCGTTGCGAGCTGGTGCGGTCGTAGTTGTTGTGCGTTGCCTCGCCAAGGGCTACGTTGGCTACGTCAGGAAACGACTTCGGAATGTGGTCCTCTTGACGTGCGTGGCACGGCAGCTGCAGCAGCTGACACCACCGCTTTCGCTACTGCAGACGACGTGACAACCGGTGAAAGCCAGACTCGACAACAGTCATTCGTCGACTTCCGACGACTTCGTTGTTGGCTCGACGTGTGAATGGCAGCCGTGACGTCATTTGCGTTTGTTTGCCAAAAAAAAAAAACATATTTTATGATACAATGTGTACAATTTGTGCAATTTTATGTGTAACAATGAACCTGAACTAGCTGGCGCAGATCCGTGGTTTCACAATCAAAATTACAATTGCTTATGCGGTACAAAATCATAGCCTTTGAGATTAGTAAGTTTATTTTTTATTAAGGCAAGCATTTGTTATTAAATAATTGAGTGTAAATCTCATAATTTCAATAAAATGATTACAAAATTTTATTTGGTTGTACGAAAAAGTTTACACAGTGAGAGTTCAGTGGGAATTAAACTTTAAAAAGAAATCCAGACCCAACATCAGCCATCGCAATCCTCACAACACCAATCCAAAGGCTCGCCGTCATGGCGGCTGTTGGTGGTCTGAGTTCTATGCGTTGACAGTCTTTCCATGTGCCCGATCTGAGTGCTGCGACGTGTGCTTCTTCGCGCTCCTCGGATGCTCACTTCACCAGGTCACTCTACCGTAAACGTTCACACTCGCGCGCCGAGTTCGGTACGACTGCGTAAACGCCGCCCGAAAGCAGTGCCGTCCCTCTCGGAGGGGTGCTCCAACGGACAAGGAACGAAACACGACGTGACGACGGCCGCTTCGTCGAAACAACCGCCTCCTCCGGGACGCCTTCGAAGGAGTTCATCAACATCCGTCTCCTTTAACTCATGGCGCTCAGACTGTGGTCACGGCGCGGCGTGTTGCCGTTACGGACGCTTTTGGGGCGCGTCCCCGGCGACGCCGGGAACGTCGAGGTCGCCGCCTTCGATGTGGTGCTGCCCCGTCCGTCGCCAAGCCGCGTGTGGCGCGTGTCGTGTATTTCGACGGGCGCCGGAGGCGGCGGTGATCGCGGTGCCGATGAGTCGGTGGCGACCAGGCCCCTATTTCTGCGTCATAGGACGCGCGTGCAGAGGACGCGCGAGTCTCTGGCCAAGACAGGACGTTCGCTACGAGCCACGCGTGATAAAGTGACAGAGAATGTCGAACAGACCAAGAGGATCGTCACCGAGCGCATGGGACATCTGGTAGGGCATTGTGCTGTGCATATTTACTTTCGTGTGGCGTTCCTGCATCTCTCTCTCTCTCTCTCTGTGTGGTGTGTGTGTGTGTGTGTGTGTGTGTGTGTGTGTGTGTGTGTGTGTGTGTGTGTGTGTGTGTGTGTGTGTGTGTGTGTGTGCACACGCGCTAATTACTTTCTCGTGCTGGTTTCGGTTATGTCATCTCTTGCTCGGAGCTTGAACTGTGCATTTCTTGATTGGTCCTCGCTTCAGTTAGTGCCACACGAGCAACTGTCAGTTTGATGTAATTAGGGTATCTGTCTGTGCAAATTGACGCTCACATGATGTAGTGGATAATTGCAGATGTCTATCTCTGTTTCCTTAAGGTTTGTTTTGATGTTGTACGCAATTAAAAGCCGAACCTTAAGTTGCCCAATGTATTTCATGAGCCATATCTGAAGAACATCATTCCTAATGACTACTTAAGCCATTTTAAAGGGTCATGTATAGTTTACGCTTACTTTATAAATTTTACTTTTAGGAGTGATCAGTTAAATACAGATTGAAGGGGCCATCGTACATAAATGCATCAGTATAATAGTGGGCAAAAATTTGTAACATAACATGGGTTGCTCAATACAGCAGCGTGGAAGCCAAAGCGTGGCTTTGCAGTGAAGCCAGTCTTGCTGCGTCTCACATAGACAAATGGACAAAGCAAAAGAAACTAGTGCTTTCTGGTCAGACTTGAGTTCTCTGTACTGCTCATAATCATGACTGCAATCTGCTGAAAACGTTATGCGACATTGCATCCCAAAACAAATCTGATTTTATACTTTGGTAAAGCTCATGACTGCAACTTAAATGGCCCATTATGTATTTGGCTAGAACTAGTGCAGATTGAAAGCTTTGACTGAATGCATCTCGGCTTTTATCGGAACTAAGTTTGCATGCAAGTATGCTATGCTGTCATAACACACTGACTTTTCTGCCAACGGTGCATTATTTCGTAGTTGTTACGTTGCAGCACTTGCACATTCATTTGAGACAGTTCAATGTTCATTTCAGCAGTTCTAGGTGATTCTGTTAAAAGATCTTGACTGATCCCCAGCTTTCATAAGCACCAGAGAGAGAAAGAAAGATAGATAGAGAAAAAGGAAGGCCAGGAAGTTAACCAGGTATTGGCATCCGGTTTGCTACCCAGATAAGCACTAACTGATGCAGGGAGCACGTGCCCTGAAAGAAGGAAAACAGTCATCCACCCATCTGTATGCAAATCGGCTTGCTGAAATTATATGGATTTCTCGGAAAGCAAGCTTCAGAGGGGATAAGGATAATCTTAATACCTGGGTTTTTACATCCTGAAACCACGATATGGTTATGTGAGATGCCGCAGTGGAGGACTCCGGAAAGTTCTACCATCTGGTGTTCTTTAATGCGCACTTACATTGCACCGTACACGGGCCTCGTGCATTTCGCCTCGATCTCAATGCGACCCCATTGTGGCTAAGATTGAATGTGTGACCTTCGGGTCAGCCTACTAAGAGGTGATACATCCTTCCTTGTCTTCTTGTACTATGAATTTTCTTTTCTGATAAATCCTCAGGGTTTTCCGGAATTTTGTATATCTATTACAACAATAGGTCAGGTGACACTCTTTCTGCTTTCGAGCACATTACTTAGTCTCGCAGTCTTCCACGAGGCTGATTTGCCAGAGATGTGTGCTGCTATGCTCGTTGACAATTCTCATTCATTAACTCGCTCTTGTCGCCTCTTCTCTCCTGGGCCATGTTCTTGCTTGTGTGCAACATGGCGGTGGCAGCGGGAGAACATCATGACCATACCTAATGCCCTGTCACTGGCGCGGCTCTGCTCCAGCCCCGTCCTCGGCTACCTGGTGGTCACCGAGGGCTACACTTCGGCCCTGGTCCTCTTTGCCGCGGCTGGAGTCACCGATGTGGTGAGCGATTTGGCGTCTTCACAGTGTCTCTGGCCTTTTTGAACAGTTGGCATTTTCTTTTGCAGCAAGTATGATTTTTCTGACACTTTTTCTCAAATGCAAAATCACTATAAGCCACATTATGAGTGAAAATTGTGAGCCAAGACTTTGATACTACCGTCCCATAATGAAAATCATCAACAGTATAAACACAAAGATATGATAAAAAATAAATGTAAACAAACTCAAATTATAAGCTTCACAAAGTGAAGCTTTACCCAGGGCTTGCACCTTTGATCTCTACCATGGTGGCACATGTCTGTATCCGTTACATCATAGGCATAGGCATCAACAAATTTAGTAGAACACCTTTAAGGGGTACTGAATTTTCAGTTGCCAATTTCTTGCGTCAAATCATAGGCAGTGCCCTGAAAAGCCTAGAAAATATGCTGCTAAGCATGAGTGCAGCCTGAAAAATAAATTACTTTTATGTTTTCCAAAGCTAGCTTTGGTTCCCACTGTACCCTGATGTCAAGACTTGGTATGAGCATTTTTCCAGCTGCTCATCCAAGATATCGCAATGTTTCCATGGCTGCTCAGCCCCATAGCTCTGTTGGGGACACATAGTGGCTGTTTAGCACGTTTTGTTAACTGAAATTATCACAGCTAGTCTTGCTGGTTTGTGAAGCCACAAAAACTGGCACTAAATCTGAGAAACATTTTCACGCTTGTGTTATCATTGTAGATCATGCCATTGTGAAACTGTTTTTCAGGATGCTACCAATATTTTGTGTGCAGATAAGGGAAACTAACATGTGAAGTTATGGGAGCATTTTATATAAATAGCTGTGGGGGAAAAAGTGCATCAGTCAACCTTCAGTGGCTACAACAAAAAAGGAGTTCATTTTTTAAATTCTGTTTTTTGACTGTACGTGTGTCACATGACTTGTGCTGCGCACACTCTTTGCTGGTTCTTGGGTACATGCTCTGAAACCTCATTATATCGAAATGGCATCTTACATGAAAATAAGTTTCTTATAACCAATATTTCATGATATTCGGGTTTGTTATATTGAGGTTTGAGTGTATATATATATTTTCTTTCAAAAATAAGTAGTTGGTAGCGCTTGTGTGCCTCTTTGTTATTTACCAAGCGGGCTAAAAAATGTTTAAATATGGTTACACGTTAGCTTTCAACAGGAGTTTTCCAGTTGATTCTTCCACCTTTCCTCGTTAAGAGGTCAGCTGCTACAGTGAAGATTCTCTCAATGCATGCACTGGAGGGTAGGGTTGTATTATATAATGAAGGAAGACTTTGTGCACCCTCTCATAGTTGCACAGTGCTTCGATGCTAGTGTCTATGTCCTCTATGAAGTGTCAGGCTTCGCTTTTGCTGGTGCTTAGGTAAACATTGCCTGTTAGGTTGAGAAAAAAAAAAGGTTAAAAAGTTGGCTCTGTAGGGACTATCCTGTCCTATCAGAGAAGTGGTATTTACAGAAAGGTGGCATATATTTTGGGACGAGAAACGTCAGGGAAGACTGGTTACGGGCTTTATTTCCAAAAAAAAGCTGTTTACCTGTAATTGATTACTAAGAAACAATTAAATTACCCAGAGCATTGCAGTACTCAATATGCAAACATGCCATAAATTTTATTACATAATTACAAGAAAATGTAATTGATTACTACTAATTGATTTTTTTTGATGCATTACATACAACTCTGCAAGAGGACTTGATGCCACCAGCACCACAGTTAGACTAATCATGTCGTACTTTGCAGCGTTATTGCAGTTGGGGAATAATTGAAGTGTCGCAGTTCCCCTAAGTGGTCTCGTAATTATGAAACTGTAGGTTGAGCGGCGTGCCCAGTGGCACTGGACGGTGTCATGTGGCAGCCAGCTGGTCACACACATAAGTGAGATGTGGCTGTGAGCAGGTGTGCTGTGTAAAAGTGCTGCTTTCTTGTTTGCGTTTACTAGCCGGCCATGAGAGGGAGGTTTTGTAGACCTGTTTGTTGTAACCATGCAGCTTGACGGCTGGGTGGCGAGGTCGTTCCCCTCACAGCAGAGCAATTTGGGCACTGTAGTGGACCCCCTGGCGGACAAGTGCCTGGTGGCCACCCTCTTCCTCAGCCTCACAGTGGCGGGGCTCATCCCTGGTGAGACTGGTGTCCCTGTGCTTAAAAACCCAACCGCATGCACCCGATTTTCGGGCGATTAGGACAAGCGGCGGTGACAAACTTGCTCCGTCGTGACGGATGCAACCGCATGCTGGCGACAAAGTGTCATTGTTATTAGATTGAAAACTATCGCATGTATGTCCATAAGTTGCGAAAAGGAGTTTTAAGTAGGTCAATGACAACATGCCGAATTTATTGCTGTCTTGTGTGGCGTAAGGAATCCATAAATGTGTTTCACGACCTTATTTTTTGCGCAATCTTTGGTTTAACCGCGACAGGGTGCCCAGACGCGTATGCTGCGATGCACTTTGCATGACAATTTCACATTGCAGCAACCAACCACAATTTTCACAAGCCACCACCGAAACATCAAAGCAAATCATTGATAACAAAAATTTGTGACAAAATACGGGTGCTCTCTCACTCACATTGTGAGATGCGAATTTAAAGGAGGTGGTTGACGCCTTGCATTCCTTGAAGTATGCGCAGATAACCAGCATCGAGAGCAAATGAAACTGAAGCGAGGATCAGGGGTACTGCCATGTTGCCGGTAATCGTTAAGCTTGCTTTCACGCGACAAGTTATGTTTTCTAGTTTTTCAGGTATGCACGATACGACAGCGACCGATGGGCCTCTGCGACAGCAAACCCTGTCGCTCGTCGCCGTCGTTTGTCGTTTTCACTCGAAAATCACGTGCATGTGGTGTTTTCACTCCAGCAGCTCCAGCTCACATCTGTTATGTACACTGGTGATCCTTGAAAGCTATGTGCAGCGCTTTTGAGTAACGACCAACACGCATAAGACATAGCTCGCTTATGGTGTGTATTGCAAGTCATTCTCACAGTGCTGGCATGAAAGGAACCTCCATCCTTATCAATAAATTATTTTTTTTGCATGCATCTCATGAGAAAGAAAAAAAGCATCTGCACATTCGTTGCCTGAAGGCCGTACACAAATTGCAGAACTGACATAAAAGAAGCAAATGTGCAACAGTGTGTGGCAGCAAAGCTGCCTTTGTACTCACATGATTGATTGATTTGTGGGGTTTAACGTCCCAAAACCACTATTTGATTATGAGAGATGCACTCTGTACTCACATGCATAATCATGTTCCAACAGCAGATTTGTAACTAGCACTTGCTGTAGTTTTGTATGAAGTCAAGGCAGGATGTGTATCTTGTTCAAGGAAGTTTAAATGAATCAAAAGTTAGACGTGTCGCTGAAGCGTGCCGGTTTCCTTTCCTTTAGTGTACCTCAATGCCCTTGTGATGCAGTTCCCCTGACCGCGCTCATTGTGACCCGGGACATCACCCTCGTGGGCTGCGCTGGCTACCTTCGGTTCGCCTCACTTCCTGCACCTGTGAGTAACTCACCTAACATTGAGGTGCTCCACTATGCTACACTCAGACAACACTGGTGTTCCATTGCTACGGACTTTTCTCTTAGCGCTTCCTCTTTCATTTTCAATGGAGGCGAAAGTACCTATATACATACTTCGATTTAGGCGTTTGCTCAAGAATTCCATGTGGTTGAAATTTACTTTGTGCTGAAACTATGACAGAAGCTATTTATGTTTCCGTTTGTTTTGCATTAAAAGTATTTCATTCAGCATTTCCCTGATTGCTTAGCGCTCTGATATTGCAATGCGAAACGAGAGTGAAAAAAGTAAAGCTCTTCTCTTTGCAGAAAACATTTCTGAGGTTCTTTGACGTAAGCTTGGCAACCGTCAAGTTCACACCCACAAGCATCAGCAAGGTAAGCTAGGAACATTTTCCAACTATTCTGAAGTAAGCCGTGAATCTCGACTCTGCGTTTAATTTGAAGCATTTTTTTTCTCGCTTATTCCAGGCAGTGGGGGGTAGGTAGGTTTTTGTCTCGCATCTGTTGTTGGTTCCAGAGTATAATATACAAATTTGAGTATGATTCAGTAGAATGTTGTCATCGTCTCACACTGCGAAAACCCGATGATGTAAGCAGTGGGCAGCAATCACATGTGTACCTTTTTGCTGCTAGCATCAACCACTGCTTTGAGATCACTTGTACAGTGTGTCGTGCTTCATTCAGCCTAATATAATTTCTTCCCAGTTTTTTATGTCAATCTAATAGAGACATCCTGTGTCTGACTGTGCTGCTCTTGGTGTCAGATCTGGTCATAATGGTACAGCTTGTAATTTGCCAGAGTGAAATGTACAGTAGCGGTGATGACGTCATTATCCCTTTGTCTTGCTGCTTGCGTCATATGATTCTCATTGCACGCAGATACTTTGGTTTACCTTGTATAATGAATGCCCCACTTGAGGCTGCATAGCCAGTTGCCTTGAAAATGTTTTACATAACATTGATTCCGATTTACGAAGGCGGGTTACCTATGTCGCGCATGTTGTCTTTGGGCAACACGAATAATGTTTAAACTATCTTTTAAAGTCATACAGGGTGGCACACCCCTTCAAGTGGCAGCCTCACTGGCTCAGTAACTTATAACCAATGGTGTATTCTAACAGGTTTTGGAAAAGCTACTCAACAGGGAAACAGTTAGTTACAGTCATACATTCACTCGCTTCATCTCATGACAAAAAACGGTCAAAGGGATGCAATATTTTTTTTTATTTCAGCAAAACCTTTGATAGAGTTCCACATGATAAACTAATCCTAAAGCTCTGGCAAATCGAACTTCAGGAAATTTTGATCTCGCAGACTAGAGGCCATCTGAGAAATCAGTACGAGTGTGTGGCAGTTGAGTGGTCAACTGAGTCGCGAAGCACAATGATAGTACCGCGCATGATAATTGAACAGCAGTGTAAACAGTAGAGAACAGAAATTAGGGCTAGTTGGTTTGCTACACTCGATGAAGCCGCAGCGCTAAGAACACGGGGAGCAAGGTGTAGAACAAGACGTGTGTTTCTCGTAACCGATTTCTGAGTAGCACACGTCTCGTCACCCGCCTTGGTCGTGTTTCTAGCACTGTGGCTTCGTAAAGTGTAAGCAGCGTTCATTAGTCGGGAAAGTAAAGTGAAAACTAAGTCATCGAATGTAATGATGGACAGTGTACATTGGACAATAAATCCGAATAGCACCTTATCAAATAAGCATTGACAGCATCACGTAAATACGTCAGGCTTTCAATTATTTGAACTTGAAAGGACTGTGGCATTTTGTTTGAATTGTCAGTCTTCACAAATATGACTCTGATCATCAAAATCAGCTTTAGATGTTATCACTTCTTACGGCCACAGCTACGTGCTAGATAGCTGTGAATAAACACGAGTGAAGTTGTTGGATGTTTCTGATCATGTTCGTATGCAATATTATACGTTACATGCATGCATGTTTAGTTAAGGGGCAAAATGTTCCGTCTCCTGCGACAGCTGGTAGCCCCTTCACAATTTGAGTAAGTCTTCGCGCATGGCAGAAGCGTACGGCCACAGCCAAAAGTGACTTAAGCATTTGGCATGCAATACATCAAAACCTGACCATGTTTGTTTTTTCTTTCTTCCTCAGTCAACGTGTGATTGCCAGTGCACAGAGTTTAGCGAGTATGGCCACTTTTTAGGCAGGCAACAGGCTTTATTTGTTAGTTATATGAAAACCTTAGTTATATGAAAAAGAAGTTCAGATGTTCATCTGGAAGCAACAAAAACATCATATATTATCAAGCAAGGACAAGTAAAGTATTAAATAGACGAATTTGTGCAGTGGAGCAGTTTGAATTAAGCTCCCTTAAAAAACATTGAGGACGTAATAAGACAAAGAAAATTTTTAAAATTTGAAATATCTGACTGTGACTCAAGAGTGTACTGTCTTTAAACACTGAAGAACAGTCGGCAATTTTTATTTTGCTTTATAACAAGTTTTGTAACGCGGAGAAAAAGAATAACAGACCTCATTGAGCTGGCAGCACTGAACCCAGACATAACGAAATATAGGTTATAACGAAGTAAATGAAAAATAGTTATGCGATGTAGTGTTAGAAATATACCTTGATATTGAATCTTTGGATATAACAAATATAATTTAGAGCAAGATACAACTTTGTTCTAATGAGGTTTAAGTGTATATTCAAGCAGCATTACAGAGGTCACGCAGTTGCAACCAATTGCAGAACTGTGAATTCTACGAATTTCCCTCACGTCTGGTCGCGGTTGCATTCTCTCTTGTGCAGGCCAACACTGCCGTGCAGCTGGGACTAGTGGCGGCCACGCTAGCTGCCCCCGTGTTTGGTTTTGTGGATCACGGTGCCTTGCACGCCTTCTGGTGAGTACAAGGGCATACTAACGGCCTTGCAATCCTTCCGTGGTTCTTTCCTGGTCACAAAGCTTGTACAAACTTGGCGCGCAACTTACCCTAAGTGGAATGTGGGGCTGTTCAGAGGCTGTTGAGCTATTGGCTTGGAAAGAGAAACTTGCACGCGTATTCTTAGTTTGCTTTATTGCCTTTGTAGTGCACGTAATGCTGCTCTCTAGTCTTTGCATGTGTGTGATTGTATTTCACTCGCACTGTGATGACTTCGACAGATATCAACCAATTAGCCGAAGACCAAGTTTTTCACACTGCACTGTAACTTTTTTAATGTTGGTTTTAAAGGTCTGTTCTCGTTTTATCGTGTATCGTTTTAATTTATGGTTACTATAATGTGTTGATTTACTTTGCAACTCTCAGCTGAGAAAAAAATCTTGCTCCCTAAAAGGCACTTGAAGCATTCGATATAGTAAAAGCTACATAGTGTACTGAAAAAAATTATTGCATGTTCGAAATAAACCCACAAACATACGTTCGACTACAAAATAATATAGACTACATGAGCGCATGGTGAAATTGTTCTCTTCGCCGTCTAGTCGCTCCCGGTCTCTTGTCGAGAGCATTATTCTGGCAAACAACACGCTACCAGAGCAGTACTCTTGACAGCAGGCTGTTCGGCACTAGATGACACAGACGGTAGTTTCGGCTCACCCTAGCCTGTTCTGTATTGTTTCGTGGCCAACTGTTCATGAACTTTGGAAGTTGCATAAAAATGGATGAATAAAAAAGAAACTTTCAAAGCGCACCGCACTCCCTGCAAAACTTAGCCATCTGTCACAGGCTTTAATGTTGGCACTGTTACTTTATGACGAACTCACACAATCAAAAAGTTGTCAAAAAATGCCATTTCTCTATTCCCACTTCAGTTCGCACCAAAAGGGTTTTCAGAGTAGCCTAAAGTATGTTGCTGTTCGTGATTGTCGTCATCGCTCTCATTGCAGGTATGTCACAGCGAGCACAACATTGCTGTCTGGCTTAACGTACCTGTTTACGAAAGACGCTTACCAGTTCATCAGGAAGGACAAGTCTTAGCCTCTGTAAGGGCTGAAGTTACGTTATGAACATTTATGCCGTGGGAGTTCCCGAGTGCATCTGCTTGCACAACTATACGTAGTACCCAATTGTTTTTTGTTATAGTTGAGCTGTTTTTGTCGTTGTGAAACAAATAGCGAAATTGTTGTTTTTGTTACAATGAAAAGGGCGATTTTGTCTGTTGGTAGTTTGATGGACTTTGTAAGATACACAGATTTTTGAAAGGCAGTTGTGCGGTTTGTTCATTTCTTTGCATGTGGCCACACCTGGTAAATATCAGTAGTGGCATTCTTGCAGAAGCATGTTAAGTTTGATGAATTCATCTTGACTATTTTACTGGTGTTTAACTGGGCCACTTAAGACAATGGTTTTCTGTCTTGATAGACGACTTACGTTGCTGTAATACAACTGCTTCACTGTAACGATGCTGCTATCGCGAGGAAAGTGTGGCCTTGTATGGCTGGCATATTCCTGACTGTGCACTGAAAATAGTATGTGCGGGGCATGGGTGGCATCTGACGGGCTAGTCACTGGTTGGAGTTGGCCTGTGATGGTGTACCGCTGTTTTCACATTAGATCTCGCACTCGTGTTATGATTACAGCAGCGGTTAGTCAGGGATGTAGAGGATGTGAGGTGGCAGTGTTGTGTAGCTGTATTGGCGTACAGTTGCGGAGATGTGTTGGATAAAAAAATGTTCCATCCACAGGTATGTGGCAAGACTCTACTAAAAGAAATCGCAGGGGTTTCCGAAAAGTTGGTGCTTCCAAGTGTAAAACTTCGTAGTGTAAAAAAGAATTGTTCTGCTCCGTGGATCAAAGCTGGGACCTGTACCTCTCTGGCTTTCCGGTTCGCTCGAATGGTACTGTGACTGCCCAGCAAAGACATTGCTCCCAGGCTTCATGCTTGATGGAGTGAAGTTTTTTTCAACTGCGGAGCTTTCTTTTTAAGAAACGCACAAACATTTTTCTTACAGCTTCGTGTTATAATCATATAGATGACACCTTTTTTTCTATCAAATAATTAGGACAGCAGAGTCATTTGCATGCGTTTTTGAGTGGTCCAGCTTTGCTTTGGAGCTACTATATCCATTGGTCGCAGAAAGTCTGCTTTACTGAGTTGAAGTGCTCAAAATAGAGGTTGAAATTGTTGTTTTGTGCCTGATTGTTGCGCCTAATAATGTACATATTCAGATAAATGAAGAGTGAGGTTGGCCAGCGCTTTGGATATTTCTTGTAACGCTGAAAAGCACTTTCCTTTTTCACTTATTCATTGTATATAAGCTTTGTAAACCTCAGGGGTGCCCTGTTCATGTTCAGGATGCATGGGTGGGCTGGTTGGTAGCGTTTTTTTGTTCTTGTTGTTGTTTGGGAAACTTTGAGCTCAACTGAAAAGACACTGCATGAAGAGTGTGTAGGCGCTTCAACTTTTGAAATAGAATGTATGATTGTATTGCATAGTGATATCTTCGATGAATTTTTGACATTTTGGAAAAAAACACTTGTGCTTATTGTAGATTTCATCTTGACTGCCTCTTTTTCACATGAACTTCGTTTTATCTAGAGAAAACGAAAAAAAAAAAACATTGTGTGAGGTAAAGGCATCTTTCTCGCAGGTTCCTACAGGTTGGCCCATCAGCTTACACAATTTTTCATGCCGACTCTATCAGCCATCATTGCTGTCAGTTTCAGCCACATAGGAGAAAGGCATGGATGAATAGAGGTGTAGCCTGGAGGGCGCGGGCATTCCCATACACAATGATACACTATGGGATTTACTTCACATAAGGAAAAAACATATTGTGTACACTATGGGATTTACTTCACATAAGGAAAAAACATATTGTGTGGGGTTTATAAGTAGTTAAGGTTGTAAAAGACAGGAAATGGAATCAATTTCTAGTTGCTGCCTGACATTGCAAGGATTATGAGTAAACTGTGGTACTATCAGCGTCAAATGAAACCCGAACAGCGGCAAGCCTTTGCGATGATATAGTACGCGCCGTACACTCACTGTCATAGGCAGGCATGCATATATGCGCAGAGCTGCAGAACAGGATGCACGCGCCTGTCAGTTGTGATAACTGGACGGCACGCACTATCGCACTATACCATCGCGAAAACTTGACGCTGTTCAGGGATCGTTTGATGCTGATAGTACAAGTGAGCTTTCCAGGAGCGGTGCACAACTAACTTCAGCTACGAGTCGGTAATCTGTATGGTTCAAAAAGATTGGCTGGATGGCACGCTCTTTACTATCGCAAAGGCTTGCTGCTATTCGGGTTTCATTTGACGCTCATAGTACATGTCAGCTTTCCAGGAGTGGTGTACAATCAACTTCAGCTTAGTCGGTAATCTGTATGGTCCAAATAGACTAGCTGTTAGCAAAAGAACACACTTAAAAACCAGGTGCTTTCATTTTAAAACTGACTTGGTAGTACTACACTCCAACCCTTTCATAAGAGGCATACGCCAAGAGCAATTTTTGTCATTTATAAGAAGTGTCTTTTAGAAGCAGGGTACCATGTTTGCATTTTCTTATCAACCACTATTCCATTGTAGGCACACGGGAATCTTATAAAGAGGTTCAACTGTACTAGGAAAATTTCATGATCTCTGTTCGTAATATGCACATAGTGTGTGATTTACGTGCATGTGTTTGAAAAGCATTCTTTGCATTGTCTTCTAGAAGTGTGACCTTAATAGCATAGCATATTAACGTCACGCACTATTCTCTACTCCCCACAATCGTAGGTTAGTCGACCACTTATAACAAGGGGTGTACGAATATCAATTTTCAAATATGAATCGAATACGAATACATGGCTTCGAATAGGAATCAAATGTCTAATAATGAAGAGGTGCAATTTTTTTCACTAGTAATCTTTTACTCAATCATATATTTATGTTGAAACAGTAAAATTGTTATTAAAGTTAATTATTCTGCACAAAAATAAAACAAATTGTTACCATCTGTATTTCCAGAAAGCATAAGACTGTAATAGTTGAGCTTGTTACTGTCATGTCTTGAGTTCAATCCACACGTTGAACAAACCTTTTTTTCTTTTATGTGGTAGCACTTCATTGCAAAAAGAGAAAAGCTTTCGTACCTGCCATGATGACTAGCATGAGGCCACTGTCTTGATAAGATATGGTAGCACAGACAAAGGACACGCACAAGAGAAGGCACATTCAAGACAGCACAGCGCTGAATATGCCTTCTCTTGTCTGTGTCCTTTGTCTGCGCTACCATATATTATCATGCTACCATACCAACAAGCCCAAATCGCCACTATCATTGGCCACTGGCTTGATTGTGTAACAGTTAACACCCGTGTACGGATATTCTAACACCCGTGTACGATAGTCTAAGGGATTATTAAGGCAGCCTCGGTGGTCTCAATTCGTCCAGGTTTCCACACTATCAGTTTGGGCTCGAAAGACCCTGATTTTATAGTTTGCTTTTTAATTTTCTCCCTGTTATCACCGGTCAAGCAACTAAGGGAAATTTTTCAACTAAACAGCAATACTCGTTATCTCGCTTGCTTCCGTTGCCTTTCTCAAGGACTGTGCGCTCATCATTTTCCAATCAAGAATATTATATGCTATGTTGCACTGATAGCGGCATGATCGCGACCGAGGTGTAGCGGGCGCACCATGATAACGTGAGGTAAGTGTGCAATATAGATGGTTACTGATGTGTGATTAAAGGACGCCTCAAATACTGTCTGTTCTGTTGATGGAGCCACAACTACCGGTGGTGAGGGCGCTATTTTGCCGCATCACGACCCCCTTCGGCGCACAGCCTGCCGACGGCAGTAAACTGATGTTGGAAAAAGAGCGAGATCGCTGCAACGATGTAACGAAGGGTTGATTGCAGGTGATAGTGCCGTGCAAGCGCGATGTGCGTACGACGGATTTTCAAAGGCGCTGTCGGGAACGCAGCGTAACTACGCACTAATCCGACTGTCTCCTTGCGTGCGCCGCCAGTAGCAACGGAGAACTATATGTGATGACACCATTGTAACATTTCCGAAAGTGCATGGCCTTTTCTATGTTTGCCATTGCGTGGAAAAACACTTCAGCTCATTCGCATGACCATATAAGCAACCATGAAATCATTCCGGATCTATGAAGTAGCGGCACAGCTGACGAACGACTCGTCAGGCTTGGATATGTGCACGTATGTTTGTACGGCAATCTATTAGCGAAAACTGGCATGGCTGTACATGTTCGCGCTCGCCCTGTGTATGTTATTTTCGTGTGACCTTTCTGCTTGAGCAGTGAGCTGCAAGTTTCTTACTGCTTGTGTTCTTCACGTGACATTACAATTTGTCGCTATAGCATTCATTCCTTTGTACTCAAGGTGACACAATGCGCACTGAACGCCCGACAACCTCTCGGAAGACAGGTTTCGCTTTCGTGTTGTACTGATTCCTATGACAGAAGGATAAATCATGTTTTGTTGTTGCTAAGCTGTAGCCCGATCTAGAGCATCATTTCAAGCTGCATAAAAACGTGTTAAGAATAAATTGTGAGCGCTTTGGGGCGCTATATGCACTCGAATATGGGAGAACCAAAAGCTGTGTTTCGAATCAAATAGTAGGTGATTTACTGTACTCGACTGTGTACTATGGGAGAGCTGTAAGCTGTGTGCAGAAAAAGTGGTGAACGATTTTGAGTACTTCATACTCTACTATGGGAGAGCATAAAGCCTTATCGTGCAGCTCACACTTGTCAAGGTCACGCACTCTGAACACCATGACAGTTCCTTGTCCTGTGCGCATCCAGCCGATTGTTGCAGACACTCGAAACATTCAATGCTGAAAAGCCCCCATACTATCTCTGCTTTGCACATTTACTATTTATTAAACTGTGCACATTTATTATAATACCTAACAAATGAGCTTTGCACATTTATTATTATTATTATTTATTGTCTGCACATTTATTATTTATTAAACTGCTTGCGTGACCCAATCATATGAAATTAAGGCAATTATCTTCGATGTTTCTTCAGAGTATTTCATCCAGCGTCTTCGTAAACAAGAAAATGTATGCCTAAACTTCTGCTCTGAACTTTCTGTAACTTGCCCTGACTGAACGGAGTGAAACCAAGTTTATTGAGCTATAGCTGTGTTTCGCTTGCTTTGTAAAAAGACGATACCGTTCATTTGTACGAGAGAGAGAGAGAGAATAAGGTTTATTATTGAATGTACAGAATATCTTTGTTGAGAGGGGTCCTCAGTGCAGGACTGCATAGCGTTGCAGGACCCTGTGAGCCAGCTGGACTAGCTACTGTTCCTTCCGGTGTAAGCTGAGCAGCGTGAACTTCCAAGGGTTGGGGGTGGAAGGAACGTCCCGTAGGCCAGGGCGTTTTCACGCGCAAATTAAGGTACACTCTCCGTACAGACCAGCAAGAAGGACAGAGGGAGGGGTATGGAGCTGAATGTATAGGAAGGCATGCGGCGTTTGGTTTGATTGATTGTTATGTGGGGTTTAACGTCCCAAAACCACTATATGATTATGAGAAACGCCGTAGTGGAGGGCTCCGGAAACTTCGACCACCTTGGGTTCTTTAACGTGCGCCCAAATCTGAGCCCACGGGCCTACAACATTTCCGCCTCCATCGGAAATGTAGCCGCCGCAGCCGGGATTTGATCCAGCGACCTGCGGGTGCCTTAGCCATCAGACCACCGCGGTGGGGCCGGCGTTTGGTTTCCCACATATTGTATTTATTTATGCTCTGGTATGGACGTCCACAGACGCTGTAGTTCTTGCTGGCGCCTTCTTCTTTCGTGCTGGCTCGAACACGTGGAGCAGCTGCGGCATAACTTCTTCGTCGTCTTCGAAACGCTAATGACTTGCCATAGCGCCCCCCCCCTTCCCCGCCCTCTAGCGAGGTAGCCCTTGCGCAAAAGAGCGAACCCTATGAGCAGGTTGTAGGTTCTGCTATTTCGAAGTGCGTTCGTCTGGTTTTCGCGGATGGCTTGTAGCCTTCGAGGACGGCGTCAGTGTCGAGGAAAGCCGGCTTTATGTGGTAAATGGAGACACTGTCTTCGCGTTCATTAAGCAGCAGAACGAAATACTTCGGGCAACGCTTGACGACCTTAAAGGGTCCGTTGTAAGGAGGTTACAGTGGTGGTCTGATTGCGTCATGTCGTACAATGACGTGGGTGCAGTCGCGGAGTGCACGACTGACAAAATTTGGGCGTGAGTGTTGACGTGCAGGAATAGGGGACACCTCTCATGGCATTTCTGAGGTGACTGGCATAATCAGCTACGTCCAATGGTGATACCGGTGACGTGTCGAAAAACTGTCCAGGAAGCCTAAGGGTAGTGCCAAGAGCAGGACGCGTCAGTACATATCGTGCTGCGCAGGGCGAAGAGGACGAGTGGTAGTCGCTCCGTCCAGGGTATCAACGATTGCGAGGCCATGAGCGAAGCTTTGAGTTGGCGGTGAAATCGCTCAACTATACCATTCGACTTCGGGTGGTAGGCCGTCGTCCTGATGTGGTTGACA